AGAAGAAGAAGAAGAAGAAGAAGAAGAAGAAGAACAACAACAACAACAACAACAACAACAACAACAATAATTACAATAATAACAATACCAGCCCCATAACAACAACATTAACAGCAACGATAAAAGAAACCCCAACAACAAGTATACAAACAGAAACATGAACAGTGCAACAATACAACGACACCAACAATCACGATGACATTAAACAATCGCCCCCCCCCCCAAAAAAAAAAGACAAGAAAAGCAAAAACAAAAAATAAACAAAAACAACACCAGGAACAATATACATTTGTAGCAACAATAACAACAACTACGGCAATAAAAACAACAACAACAACAACAACAACAACAACAACAACAACAACAACACCCACACACTTTCCCCTTGGTGGAATTTATCAAGATCACCATAAGCCTATCTGTATTAAATCTAACATTGACATTTGAAATCCTGTTGGAATAATAGTATGTATAATAATATGTATATAATTACTATTATGAAGTTGAACAACACTAAAAATGACTGTTCATCCATCAATATAATGTGAACATGGCCTTTATATTCCACTACTTTAGAATCTGCAACCATTCAGCGACATAATAATTGGTAGTTTAATCAGCAACTCGTTTAAATGCTTGTGTATTCAGTAACCTGTAAAATTGTCCGTTTATTTTTCAATATGCGAAGTTCGGCAGTTTTATAAGAAATCTGTGTAACTGCAAGTTTGTCCACCAACAGTAGTTGAAAACTTGACAGTCATTATAAAAAAAACCCTACAATTAACCTTAATATAAACTGGGGACAGAAAGAGTATGTTCGAGTGTCAAGAAGGAGGGAGGGAGGGGGCGGGGGGCTTGCCAGTTTATTCAGCGACATGTGGAATTAACAGTTGAAAACTAACATTCACTATTCCAGAAACTACAGTTAACCATAATTGGAATTGGGGACGGAAAGGGTATGTGTGTCGGGAGGGGGTGGATGTGGGGATAGGGAAATTACTCATTTATTCAGCAACGTGTGGAATTAACAGTAGGGAACTATCGACTGTCAGTCACTATTCCAAAAACTACAGCCTTGATTTTGACCTGGGACGGAAAGGGCGCTGTGCGTACGTGCGTGTGTGTGTGTGTGTGTGTGTGTGTGTGTGTGTGTG